CAGTCCAGATCTCCTGAAGCAATAACTTTTTACTTACAAGAAATATTCTAAGGTAAAAAAAAATTATGATGTATGATATTTTTCAATCTAAATCTGCAACATCTCTAATTGAAATATTAGTATTTGGTTTAAATCGCGATTTAAATCAAAAAAATCGTTTTTTTTCAAAAAAATAAATTTTGCCAACCCGATTGCTAGGTATGCTCTGTAGCAAATAGAAACTTAAAAAGATTAATAGTTTTCTTTCTAAAAATCTTTATTAATGAATAACAGAAGCCTGCAGGCCCAATTCATCAAATGTGTGACAAGGTGAAAAAACGCAAATGGTTAGAGGGGGGGGGGCAGATCTAACCTTAATTATTAAAGTATTACATCCTGTGTAAATTTATATATTGAGCTTTGATGATTTTACACTTATTAGGTTACCAACCCAATTAATTATAAATATAAAAATTTTGTAGATATAAGAACTAAATAAATATTTTATGTGAATTAACAAGTGTAGAAAATACATCAAAATTACCATAAATACTATAAAATTATTTAAATATGCAGGGCTGATTTTATTTAAATAATATTTATATTAGTATAAACCAAGGATACACCGATATCGATACTCGGTTAATAATTTACCTTGATAATTTTTTTAAAAAGTGAACATTATGTTGTGAATTTATAAAAAAAATTATAAGCCAGTAAAAAAAATAAGGTGTTGCTAAACTTTATTTCCTATTCCTTCTTACATATAGTTAAATTTTATGAATTTCATAAATTAATTAATGATAAATAAATAAAAAATGATAATATTTATCGGAGTTGTTAAAGTATCTAGATACTGCATTTAGATATAGATAGATTTTTTTAAAGTATCTGTATCTAGATATAATTTTTGAGGTATCTGTATCTGTTTTTAGGATATATTTTGATATATGTTTATTTAATGCTTTTTTATAATATTGCAAAATTTATTTTATTTCATTTGAGCATATAACTAATATTTTAAGACTACTATAATAAAAAGTTATATGTCATAATTTTTAAAGGGATCATTAACCGGGATCATCACAAGATTTAAGGGGATCTCTTTAAGAATTCAATTTTTTAAAGGATAAAGAACTATACGGCATTATCACGTTTGAACAATTATATAAAAAAATCTTATTTTAAAAAGCGTTTTACGAGCGTTTCGCTTTATTTTTTTAAATAATTTGATTTATATTTTCAATGTTGTTTTTATGGCTTTATGAAACAAGATATGTCTAAAATAGGGCATCAATCGATAGCTAATTAAAAGATCTATTAAACTGGAGGTCAATCTTTCCCCCATAATGGGCGGGTCAAATATTTTTATCAACACAAAATATCGATATGGGTATCAAATAAAAGCTAATTTTAATATCATTTGACTGAAAGTCTTCATTCTTGGTCTTGATGGGTATAATATGTTGTGGGTGGGGGGGGGGGGGAGGGTTTGATATGGGTATCAAATAAAAGCTAATTTTAATATCGTTTGGCTGAAAGTCTTCACTCTTTGTCTTGATGGGTATGACTTGGTCTGAGGAAATAGAGGTGGGGGAGGGGGGGGGGGGGGGGGTGTAGAATATTAGACATATCTTATTTCATAAGGCCAAAAAAAACAACATTGAAAATTAATAAATAACAATAAAATTAAAAAATGAAACGAAACGAAAGAAACGAAACGAAACGCGCGTAAAACGCTTTTTAAAATAAGATTCCTCACGATTAAAACGATACCGTATTATCATTCCTTAACTTAAAACCCTAATTTATTAGTTACCCCTTTAAACCCCGTGAAGATCCCGGATAGTTCTAATCCCTTTAAAACTTACGACATATATATAAAATATAAAAACATAAAAAATATATATATAAATATTCATTAAATATTATGTCCAAGTTTATCAATAAACCAGACTAATTTTGATATTACACATCTCAAAAAATCTATCATTTTTTTTTCAATAGAATTGGTTAATTTTATTTTATTATACTAATTTTAAAAATTTATTTTAGATAAAATTAATAGTGATGAAAAGGAAGAAGTAATAATCAATGAAGCCTCAACAAGATCAGACATTGTTTTTCCATGACCAATTTATAGAGCATATTTTAAAATAATATCTCAAAATAAAGAAAACAAATCTCTGATAGTAAAATGATTGCTATATCTACCAAAAAATAGGAAAATGTTAGCATTACCTCAACTTGTAACACATTTAAGTGTATAGATACTAAATAAATGTTTACAGTTGTAATTTTAAATTTTAAGAGAAAACAACAAACACTGTTAATAAAAATAAAAAAAAGGGAAAGGAGAATAAATCTATTAAAGATAATATTGAACTAGGTTCATTGTCCACTGATATTTTTGCCAAGAGACCACAGACTTTAACCCAAATTACTTTAGATGATTTAATAGCTGCTTTAATTATAGCGGGCATTCAGCCATTTTCAATTATTGAAAATCCTTCATTTATAAAAATGATCTAAACATTTGCTCTACAACAAAATACAATTTGAAGACAGGCAGGGTTGGTAGATTTTCCTGATATAAAATTGTTATTCATAAATGAAAATACAACAATCCCTTCAAGTGCCCCGGTAGAAGACTTTTTAGTTTAGCTTAAAATGTCTTTAGATAAACGAGGATGCCTTAATGGCCAAAATGTTGAAAATATTTTATTACTGAAATCTAATAAATTTTATAATCATTTAATAATATATTATTATCTTTTAAAAAAAAATTTCAGGCTTGGCCTGTATTTTTTAAAAATATATTATATTGATTTTTTATATTTATAGATACTAATGGCAATTTCAAATATTTGGTTTTAAAATCCCGGCCCAATATTTTTTTTAAAAAAATTGTTTTCAGGCCTAGCCTGGCCCCTGTATATTTTTTTTTTAATTACAGGCGTGGCCCGGGTATATTTTATAAAATTGGCTTAGTGGTGTATGATGTATGCTTGGAAACTGAAAGTCCCAGGTTCAATCCTGGTAAGGAACTGTAAAAATTTTCAGGTTTTTCTTCGATGAATGATGTGTAAAGGCATACAATATCTGAGCTGAGAAATACCAACACAATCACCGACAGGTTTGGGCAGCCGGGTGCTAGGATACTTGTCCAATAAACCAAAATGAAAGATGGGCAGCTGAACTTGTGGGTCATTCAAAAATAATGGTGACATCGGGGGCCGTTCAAGCACAATTTCTACCAATCTACAATGGACTTGATAACGATACTCCAGTGGGAGATTCATCGAGATTGATACTCCATAGGAGATCAAGCTTACAATGGAAACGATAAGAATCTGGAGGGATATCTTTCAATATCGATATTTCAGTGTGAGGAATACTCCAGTGGGATATCTGTCGATATTGATATGGTGCGAGGAATACTCAGGTGGGATATCTGTCTATATTGATACTTCGGTGTGATACCAAGATACAACGGCATTAATATCGATATTCCAGTGGGAGATATACTCCAGTGAGATATCAGAAATATAAATAAATAGCATGAATAATAAAGTGGAGAGAGATATTGAAGGAGCTTACCACCAGAAAAAAGGTGAAAGCTAAATAATAAAAAAACTGCCCAGCCCATGTAGGCTGGGCTTACAAATCTCTGATTATTATATTAAAATCTAAAAATCATTATTTTAGTTATATTTTGATAAATGTGATATCAAGTCAATAAATATTTAGCTCATTTCATTAATTTTCACAATAGAATACTAATTTAGGGTTATGCAAACCTTATAGAGATTATATAATAAAAATTGTTTTATATGATGTATCTAGATCCATTTAAATAGTATCTTTTAACTCTGATAATTATTAATTTTATTCTTGCTTATGTTTTTTATTGGATTGGGTATCAGAGGTATCATAAATAATGGATCTGATTGATGCTGATAACTACTTTTTTTTGATCGAATTGGGCAAATATTTTAAAAAAAAACCAATTCGATATTATAATTATTTTTTGGGGATTTCATATATATGTTAGCAGCAATATGTATATTTTCAACTTTAAATCATCTTTTGAGTGTGTTTTCATAAATTTATTAATCTGATTTTAACTGAAATGTATTCTATAGTGTGATACATACTCTATGAATTTCAAAAAATTTCAAAGTGTCTCTTGTCTTACCCACAAGGTTACTCTTGGGGATTTTTTTGCCTTTTTTAGATAATTGTACAAATTTTGAGTTGATCATAAAAATAATATAAACCAGTGTCAGGCTAGATTTTTTATAAAAACTTAATCCAGGCCAATCTTTTCAAAATGAATTTAAATTTATCAATTTATAAGTTATAAAATTTTGGAAATGGACAATTTAATATTAATTTACTGGTCAATCCTTTAAATCAAATAAGATATTTAAAGATCCTGATCAAGCCAAAATGATGTTTCAAAAAAATCATGCTTGAAAATTAAAATTATCAAGAGGAATAGATAAGAAAATGGAAAACAATAAGCAAAAAAATTTTAAAAGCAAAATAAAATTTATAAGCTAAAAAAGCCAAGAGTACCTAAAAATTTTATTTTTTATTGTTTTTTGAGTTCTAATAGGAGTTACCATCTATAAATTTTATTATATTTGAGGAAAAATTAATTTAAATTGTTTGAAATGTTTTAGGCTTATATAACAGAGGCCAGCGGGCCCAGCCCCGCCTAGCATTTTAATTTATTTAATATACCTAGGCCAGGCCTATATAAAAAAAACTTTAATATCATGTCCAGGCCAAATATTTCAAATTGCCATTATTATCTATAAAAATTAAAAATAAATATAATATATTTTTTTTAAATGTAGGCCAGGCAAAAAAAAATTATTTTTAAATCTGGGCTGGGCCAAAAAAAATTTTAATCTAGGCTGGGCTACATCATGCAAAAGATACCTCTGCATGTCTCTGATATATATATGAAGCAAATATGTATATATAAAGTTTGCAATTCAAAATATTAATACCTGTAGAATCTTCACCAGATTGATTCTAAATAATATTCAATATTTTAATTCATAAATGCAAATAATTACTTGGTGTCCCACATCATAATTTACACTACTTTCCCAAGTTCCTATGCTACTAGATTCTAAACTACTACTCTCACTAATTTGACTAGTATTTGAATTGTTCATAGTATTAATATGAGATGATGATAAAAATAATTTTGGGTAATTCATTCCATATAATTTTGTGTAATTAATATTTTGGGTCAGTTTTAAATGACTGGTTGAATGTAAGGATATAATTGGAGATGGTGTCACTAAACTAATTCCATAATCTTCATCCATTGCTATATTTAAATCTTCATGAAGAGAGTTGCTAATTTTGGATATTTTTAATTTCTTTAATAATTCATCCTAAATGTAAATTACAGAATTTCTTGAAATAATATAAATACCTGTATTTTTTTATGAGAATAAATATCTTTGGTATTTGGAGGATGTTTTGGTATAAAATCTGCTGAGAGGCTGTAAAATAGGATTTATAAAATTAATCATTTTTTAATTTAAATAACCTTAGATTTTTGGTATTTTCTAAATCATTATTTAAATCAAATGAAGGTATTTGATTAAACTCTGAAATTGATATTGACTTAAGATCAGTTAAATTATCTTTGAAATTATTAATTGTTTTATTTCTTTGCTTAAAAAATTTCATTTTTAGCCTATCTTTATCGAACAAAATTCATTCGCAATATTAAGAAAAGTCATATGATTTAAAATAAAAAATTGAAGGTAACAACCAAATTTTGGAATGTTCTTGTTCGGTTATTTATTTATTATATAAGTCTATATGTATAATATTAATAAGTAATAATTTGAAATCCAAGATTAAATAAAATATTCATTTATTTTTAAACTCTACTAAACAGTTGATAAAAATTATATTTATAAATAGCAAAATATAGGGGTCAATAAGTATTTAACTGGATTTCTAAGAATGAGCTATAATTGTATAAATATTTATGCATCTTTATTAAAGAGAGAGAGCAATTCTCGGTTCAGTTGTAAAATTTTTGATTTAAGAGCCTAATAATTACAATGACATATATATATATGATATGTCATTGAATAACTATACTAATTTTAAAGTTTGGGAGAAAAATGTTAAACTATTATGGTGAAGATGTAATTAGTTCAATATTTCCTTCGATTCAGCTGATTTCACATTTTGTAGGATTCAAATGAGGAGGCACAAGTAAGTCGTGAAATTTCTAAATAAATATTTTTCGTCACTCTGAGTCCTAAGAAACTATTGTTGTCAAGTGGCCGTTTTGGGTCGATTTTTAAAAACGTTCAAACATGTGTGCTTAGTATTTTTACTTGTGGTACATTACTTAAAAAATTAAGACTGTATTAACCAGACTGGGTAATAAACCGGCTAACAAATTTTTATAAATAAAAATTATGAAAAATTATAAAATTTTGGAAATAAAAAATTGTATCCCTTTTATAATAAATAAAGGCGCAATAAAAAAATCAGGCCGGAGGGGGAACGCCCCCCCCCCTAAAAAAATTTTGGCCCACAACCTGGCCCCCAGAATAAATCTTTGGCCCCCAAAAGTATCCCCCAAAAATTTTTCTGCCCCCCTCCCCCAAATTTGAAATTTTTTTTTAGAATTGATTATTTTTATATTTTTAATATAAACATGTTTATTTGGAATTATTTTTATATTTTTAATATAAACATGTCTATTTAGAATTAATTATTTTTATATTTTTAAAATAAATTTTGAATATTTATTCTACAAACATGTCTAGTTTGTAAATTTTTTTCTATCCTGTTTTATTTTTATTTTTACCCAATATTAAATTATCATTCATTCATTTTTTTTCATTTGTTTTTGTTGTGTATAACATTCTCTATAGGTATCACATTTATATTATAATATATAACCAGTTATTTTATTTTACAGCGTTTATTTTAAAATTATGAAGAAACAAACAGTTATTAACTCTTATTTTAAGTTAAAGTTAAACAAATGTCAAGCAACATCACCTCTACAAACTAATAGTAATACTACATCAGAAATTTTAGAAACTGATTCTTATCATAGTTAGTATAAATTTATATTATTATTTCATGACGATATAGGGCAATACCTATATATTATTATCATATATATTTATTTTATATAAGATAAGAGACAGACATTTATTATTAATATTATCATTTTTGTATAATAATTTTAATTATTAAAATAAATATATTCACTCATATTTCAAGATATGAATGAAGCCAATAATCTAGAAAATGATCCTCACTACACTCAGGAGGAGGAAGATGGTAAATAGTTTAAAATTAACCCAAATTTTTCTATTTATATATTTTTGACAATATCAATAGGAGTAGGAGATTATGGTGTTTCATTATTACATTTTGATTTTAAAACAAATAAAGACAAAGAAGAGACTCAATCATCTTCATCTAGCAGCTTAGTCTCTCATTGTCAAGAGGCAACTAGTAATTGATTTATAAATATAAAAATATTATATTTTTTTGTTAATCTTTAAAGATATAATGTTTATGACCTTTTTCTAGTATTTTATACTGAATATCTATAATTTTACTGATAATCTTCATCAGGGTTGGGCACTACATTATAGCAAATACTTGTTTCTTAAATACAAGATAAATTTTATGTTTATTCATTTTCAGCATGACCTTCCTTCAGCGTCTACATAAGCTGGAGGGCTAGGAACAGTTTGCATCCTACTTTTTTGATGGGGTAGGCGGCTTTAATGGGGGTAGAATAAATTTTTTTGGGTTTATCTATTAAATTTTGAGATGAAATAGGATAAAATTTATTGCTGTAAATACTTTTATTATAGAATTATTATATTAGAATTCATCGACCAAATCTATATATTGCAAACAATCATACATATTGTTTTTCAAATAAACTATCCTTTTAAATGTAATTTAAAAGGTTTAGATATTTCAGCAAGCTCATAATGCATAATAATTAATTCATTGTAAATAATGGAGGTTTTAATTGAATTTATTATCTAAAAAATAAATTCTTTATATTCACAAAATATCAATAGTTGGTAGTAGAGATAGATTAATTTAAGTTATCCTTTATAAATTCTTTGAACAGAGTATCAATAAATTAAATAGGCAAAAATAATAAGAGACACCGCCGCCGAAGGTGGCATGAATTTTTTAGGGGGGTAGGCAAAGGTTTTTGAAGGGGGTTTGCATCCAGTGAAAATCCTGTCATGTAGACGCTACCTTCCTTCACCCATCCTGATGACCATTATTATTTATGACCCTTTCCCTCATTACAATTTATTAATTATAATATTTTTAGTGTCAAAAAAGTCCTCTAATGGTTCAATTCAAATCCCAGGTGACCTTGGCCAGAGTAAACCAAATCAAATCAAATTAAACAATTACGGGAAAAAAGATATCCATGGAAGGCAAAGATCATTTCAAAAATCATGGTATAGAGGCCGAGACTGGTTGGAGTATAGTGTAGAAGCTGACGCTGCCTTTTGTTTTCCATGTAGGAAATACCTGTGTAATCCAAGTGATGAATTTGGACAAACGGGATTCAGAAATTGGAAAAATGCGTTAGCTGCCAAGAAGGGACTGCTAAAACACGAGAGCTCAAAAGCTCATTTAAATTCAATTACAATATGGCATGATAAAAATCAAAATATAAACAAAGGTACAGAAATAACTAAAATGTTGGGAGGTGATATTAAATCAATATTTTATTTGATGCTATTTCTTAGCATACAAAAGCTACCTTTCCGTGGGACTGGTTCAACAAATATTACGGATGCTGCAAAAGATGAAAACATAATTTATTCTTCTGGGCTATTTATAGCAATGTTTTTCTATACCATCCAAAAAGACCCTGAATTAAATAAAATTATGAAATCTATACCCAAAATGCCCAGTATACATCACCACAGATTCAAAACGAAGTAATATCCATTAAGACAGATATGGTGCTTGAACATATTTCATATAAATATAATAAAAGCGCGATGCCTTTTTTTGTCTTAAGGGTGATGAGACAAAAGATGCTTCAGTTTGTGAAAACCTGAGCGTAATAATTCGCTATATTTTTTCTGGAGAAATCCAAGAAAATTTAATAGAAATCATTAATTTAGAGTGTCTTTCTGCTGAAAGCATTACAGATAGCATTTTAAAGCAACTTAATGATCTAAATATTAATTCAGCTAATATAATAAGCCAGGCATATGATGGTGCAAACGTTATGTCTGGCCGAAATGGAGGAGTGCAAACACTTCTTCAAAAAAAATTAATAAAAATGTTCCTTTTATACATTGCTACAACTACAAGTTGCATCTTGTGGTTCAAAATTGGTATAATAATATTGTTATTATTGCTAATTTTTTTAATTTATCAAATGCATTGTATAATTTTTTCAGGCGTTTTAACCCTGTAAATATACAGGCCACACCCTTAAGTGACTTTTAGACCAGAGGTGGACTGGTCATTTGGAAACATCTCGCATTATTTATGAGAATTTTGATGCTATTGGTGAAGTATTATTTTACTTTTCAAATAGAACTCTTAATTCAGAGGTTTCAATTCATGATTCAGTCGAATCCTCTGGTCTTTTATCTCAATGTATTAATATAAATTACATTATATTAGCCATCATAATTTATGAGATATTAATTACAATAGATCCACTAAATAAGTATCTACAATCAGTAGGTACTAATCTAGTGGATGCTAAAAATTGTATTGATTCTACTATCAATATATTAAAAAATAAAAGAAGTGATAATTCTTTTGCTTTGATTATGATTAAGGCTGAAAAACTTTTATCAAAATTTAATCTTACTCCTTAAAAATTATCACGGGTACGTAAAACGCCTAAATTATTCCAAGATTTTTTAGTTGATAGCAAACTAGAATTCGATTGAGAAAAAGACTCCAATTGGAGTTCTTAAAAAGGATATATTATGAAATTATAGATAACTTTGTGGATCGTTTTTTAGACCGATTTACAGAAGATGATTTTAATCTTTTTTCATCTTTTAATACATTGCTCCCCCTTGACCCTGATTATTTTTTATCAGATAAAATGGCCCCAATAAAATCCCTGTTAAACTTAAATATGGAAACACTGCATCATGAAATGAAGATAGAAAAAGGCGGAAGCTAAAGAAAATCATAATTTTGAAAATATCTTAGATATTATGTATAAAAAAATATAATCATGCATTTAAAGAATTATATAAATGCTACTCAGCAGCGATAATCATGGATATCAACGGCTTTTTGTGAGGCCTCGTTCTCTACATTAAAGAGAGTTTTATCGAGCAGTAGAGAGTCTATGAAGGATAAACGTAAACAAAATTTAGTATTAATGGCGTATGAAAAAAGAATAACGCAGAATTTATCTTTTGGTTCATTTATATTAAAATTTAAAAATAAAAATCGCCGTATTCTATTATAGTAATATTTTGTTTTGTATATGCATATTATAGTATTATTTTGTTTTGTATATTCATATTATAGTTTTATTTTGTTATTAAATATTTAATAAAAATAGGAAAAAATACCTATGAATGCATAATTATTTGTTTGATTTTAAAAAAATAGTTCCCCCCCCCCCCAAGTAAGCACTTGGCCACCCTAAGTGAAAATTCCTGGCTACGGCCCTGAATAAAATATAATTAATTTGGCG